TAATACATACAAATACAATTTGTGTCCATTTGAAGTACCGGGTTTCAGGTTTTGACACTCGACACTTGGTGATTTGTGAAATGAGTGAAAAATGGACATATTGTGTACATGATGTTGGGTTTCGGGCTTTGGGTCTCGGCCCTCAGCACTCGGAACTCGATGATTTGAGTAATGTAAATGAAAAATCAACATGTTGCATGCCGGGTTTTGAGTTTCATGTTTCAGCACTCAAAACTCAGTGATTTGTACAGTGAGTGAAAAATGGACATGTTGTGCACATATTTTCGGGTCTCGGGGTTCAGGTTTCGGCCCTCGGAACTCGGAACTTAATGACTTGTGTAATATAATTGAACAGTGGACATGTTGCACACCCGGTTTTGAGTTTCAGGTTTCAGCACTTGAAACTCGGTGATTTGTGCAACAAGTGAAAAATGGAAATGTTGCATACATATTTTCGGGTCTTGGGCTTCGGGTCTCGGCCCTTGGCACTTGGAACTCGATGATTTGTGTAATGTAAATGAAAAATCAACATGTTGCATGCCAGGTTTCAAGTTTCGGGTTTCAGCACTCAAAACTCGGTGATTTGTGCAATGAGTGAAAAATGGACATGTTGTGTACATATTTTCGGGGTTCGGGGTTCGGGTTTCGGCCCTCGGAGCTCGGAACTCGATGATCTGTGTAATATAAATGAAAAATCAACATGTTGCATGCCGGGTTTCGAGTTTTGGGTTTCGGCACTTGAAACTCGGTGATTTGTGCAACAAGTAAAAAATGGACATGTTGTGCACATATTTTCGGGGTTCGGGGTTCGGGTCTCGGACCTCGGACCTCGGAACTCAATGATTTGTGTGACGTAAATGAAAAATCAACATGTTGCATGCCGGGTTTCGAGTTTTGGGTTTCGGCACTTGAAACTCAGTGATTTGTGCAATAAGTAAAAAATGGACATGTTGTGCACATATTTTCGGGGTTCGGGGTTCGGGTCTCGGACCTCGGACCTCGGAACTCAATGATTTGTGTGACGTAAATGAAAAATCAACATGTTGCATGCCGGGTTTTGAGTTTCGGGTTTCAGCACTTTAAAACTCAGTGATTTGTGCAATGAGTGAAAAATGGACATGTTGTGTACATATTTTCGGGTCTCGGGGTTCGGGTTTCGGCCCTCGGAGCTCGGAACTCAATGACTTGTGTAATATAATTGAACAATGGACATGTTGCACACCCGGTTTTGAGTTTCGGGTTTCCGCACTTGAAACTCAGTGATTTGTGCAACAAGTGAAAAATTGAAATGTTGCATACATATTTTCGGGTCTCGGGGTTCGGGTTTCGGCCCTCGGCACTCGGAACTTGATGATTTGTGTAATATAAATGAAAAATGGACATGTTGCATGCCGGGTTTCGAGTTTTGGGTTTCGGCACTTGAAACTCAGTGATTTGTGCAACAAGTAAAAAATGGACATGTTGTGCACATATTTTCGGGGTTTGGGGTTTGGGGTTTGGGGTTTGGGGTTCGGGTCTCGGACCTCGGACCTCAGAACTCAATGATTTGTGTGATGTAAATGAAAAATCAACATGTTGCACGCCGGGTTTCAAGTTTTGGGTTTCAGCACTCAAAACTCGGTGATTTGTGCAATGAGTGAAAAATGGACATGTTGTGTACATATTTTCGGGTCTCGGGGTTCAGGTTTCGGCCCTCGGAGCTCGGAACTCGATGATCTGTGTAATATAAATGAAAAATCAACATGTTGCATGCCAGGTTTCGAGTTTTGGGTTTCGGCACTTGAAACTCGGTGATTTGTGCAACAAGTAAAAAATGGACATGTTGTGCACATATTTTCAGGGTTCGGGGTTCGGGTCTCGGACCTTGGACCTCGGAACTCAATGATTTGTGTGATGTAAATGAAAAATCAACATGTTGCATGCCGGGTTTCAAGTTTTGGGTTTCAGCACTCAAAACTCGGTGATTTGTGCAATGAGTGAAAAATGGACGTATTGTGTACATATTTTCGGGTCTCGGGGTTCGGGTTTTGGCCCTCGGAGCTCGGAACTCAATGACTTGTGTAATATAATTGAACAATGGACATGTTGCATGCCGGGTTTCGAGTTTTGGGTTTCGGCACTTGAAACTCAGTGATTTGTGCAACAAGTGAAAAATGGAAATGTTGCATACATATTTTCGGGTCTCGGGGTTCGGGTTTCGGCACTTGGCACTCGGAACTCAATGAATTGTGTAATGTACATGAAAAATGGACATGTTGCACACTGGGTTTCAAGTTTCACGCTTTGGCACTCGAAACTTGGTGATTTGTGCAGTGAGTGAAAAATGGACATGTTGAACAATGGGTTTCAGGGTCTCGGGTTTGAAAAATAGCATAATAACAACTTTCATGTTTTCATTATCATTTGCCTATATTGACTACCGAGTCTGATAAGAGACCCCTTGGATGATTCATTGCTCAATGAAATACTACCTGATTGGAAGTGTGATGGTTATCAGATATTCATTTGTCGACTCCCGGGTCCCGGAACTTGGAAGTCGGTATGGTTGACCCAAATTTGGGTGGTCAGAACTTGGCATCTCATAGGGCAACACAAGCTTCACACCCTGGATTCCAAATTCTGCAAGACAACCTGTGCACCATCAAAGGCCATGTCAGGAGATCACCTGCTGCTCCGGGAACTCAGGAACTTTGATTTATTACCTCCTCTGAGTACGGTTGACCCAAAGGTTGGTAATCGGAACTTGGCTTCTCATAGGGTAACACAAGCTTCGCACCCCGGATTCCAAATTTTGCAAGACAACCTGTGCACCATCAAAGGCCATGTCAGGAGATCACCTGCTGCTCCAGGAACTTGGTAACTTTGATTTTATTACCTCCTCTGATTTGGTTGATGTACAACTACCTCAGCTCCATCGTGTTTACAATTATGATACACATGGGCCCACCCATCTATATTTTATACCACCCTCGGCCCACCCGTCTAATACAACATCCCATACAACACCCTCGGCCCACCGGTCTAATTAATATGCGTCTGGGCCCACCCGTATAATACAATATTGTATAATACCCTCGGCCCACCCATCTAATTTAATATGTGTCTGGGCCCACCCGTGAATGTGATAACAAGTACCTACCCATCTATCTCATACACATCTACCTTAATATACCCATCTGCATAATATCCAACTACCTCGGCCCACCCGTCTACCTAATATTCATGTACATCGGCCCACTCATCTACTCTATATATCCCCTGCATGGGCCCACCCGCCTCCATCGGGAATAATTTGCCTCCCGGCCCATCCGTCATAGTCGAGGATATTTTGATCATGGGCCCATGGTCCGCTGGCCCGTATCATACGGGATATTATGCACGTCCGTTCCCTCGTATTATACGGAAATAGGTCACTGTAATATGTGGGTACTGAGGGAGTTTCAGGGACAGGGGAAAGTTTGGTGGGATGCCGAAGTTCTAGATCTGCGAGTGCCTTGTGGTTATGCTCCCAATCTAAGAGAGCTTCGAAAAACTTCTCTTCATCGCTAAACTCTTGGAGTACAATGCGTCCGTTGAGTCGCGGTGTCTTCTTAGATAGATGATCTATAGATAAACACCTATAAAAACAAATATCTCCACGGTCAGCGATTCAGACAAATACCAATGACTGATAATGTGGTCGTTCGTGGGTGGCTAGTTGTATACTACCCAAGGTATGTTCAGCTAAGGATACTTCTGCAAGATCAGTAATACAATGGTCAATCCAATCTTTGGACTTGACAGGAAAACAAACAAACAATGGTCAGCCCGACAGTATGGCAATGACCAAAAGAATATACGGGATTCTTCCTCAAGTTCCCTTTCAACAACAGTGCTTCGTACCAACTATACTCCAAAAGAAATGGTGTAGAATTTCAATGATAAACCCCCTCAGCACAAAACAGGTAGAATCAAAGGTCAAGACTAATCAGATGCTTTATTGTAGAACTCTTAGCTCAATATTGAACCTGCTGTCAAGGAACTCTTCTTTGAGTATTCAAACAGACTCAGGAACGGACGTCCTTGGGTTTACTACCAAGTCCCCTCTTCAACGGCTAAAGCCTAGCAGGCACAGAATATCTTGGCTCAGTATCACTACTCAGATGAGTGAGGTCAAGCTTCACTATCAATTCCTAAAGTCTCCCCACTATGCTACTACTGAGTCTTAGGTGGACGTAGAGACAACACGAATATTTTGGATCAGTATTTTTGGACAAAGAACACCAAAGGTCAGTGAAAGTAAAAGAAAAGAAAAAGAATAATAGAAATCAGAATAAAAGTGTGGCTGTACCTTGCTTGCTGGTTGTTGCACACAGTGAGCTCACAGCGGGTCATTCAGTATGATGAGCTTGCAGTATTACTGTCTCTTGAGAGTGTTCCTCTCAGTCTTGAAACAGTTCTTGACACTGGTACTGACACTTATCACACCTTACTTCACAACTTAGTGTTAGTTGGGCTGAGAAACACCCTACTACCTGCTGGTATCTGCTTCTTATTATTTCAAAAACTGAGGTCATTATATACACAATAAATGTGGCTGTGCTACTAGTGTATTCAAGAGTCATCAAGAGTCATAATGAGTCATATGTGCAAGGTGAGTCATAGTGAGTCATAGTAAGTATCTAGAGTGAGTCATAGTGAGTCATATATTCAGAGGGAGTCATAGTGAGTCATTGGGTATTTGCTAAGTCATGTGACCTGTCCAACCCCTGATGACAAATCCAGAAGGAGAGTAAGAAGTGTCACATGATATGAATCCTGTGTGTGGCTGTCTTTGCTTTGCTTTGTTTGAAGGGTGAGAATGACGCGAGCCTAGTATTTAGGGGTTTACTAATGTTTTTCCAGGACAACATATGTGGGAAATATTTTTCACAGTCACCTGACATGTGTGTGATTTTGTCTGGGTCATCACCATGGCTGACTAAGCAAAACTCATCGCAGAATTAAATGTACTAAAATATTCAGGCTGCTGGCATATAGACTTGAAAAAATAAAAAGAAAAGCAAAAAATATTCCCTTAGCCTCAGTCCAACTTCAGATAAAAGGGAAAAGGGTTTCATAGTGGTATTTCAGGGTATATGACTCATGAGAGAGTATTGGTCATCCATGCACCGAACCGGTTTGGTGCAGGTCAGCGGGCAGTGGACCGACAGATGGTCAGGTCCGAGTTCATTGCAGATGCAACAAACATAATCTGGACATTTTCTGAACTGATGTCCGTATCCTCCGCAGCGCTTACAGAGCGTGGTGCGGGTTTGATCTATGGTAGCCGCTTTTCTCCTAAGCGGGTGTACCGGGCGAGGTTCTTCTATAACGGGCTTCACTTCAACTTTCTTTATCGCGAGGTCAGTGATATCGGAGAAGTCGAGGGGGAGTAAGTGAAGTGCGAAGTTTCTGATCCGCCGTTGCAGATGAAGTATAGCAAGTTTCCGAGTTGCTTCATCAAGGTCAACACGATTGGCTACATCTTCCAGTAGCTTTGTGGTTTGTATAATGCAGACAGTGAGGGAAGTACACGCTGCAGTTCTGGTGTCTTGATCACCAAGGATTTCATTGATCGCTTGGGAATACGCGGGGGTCAGGATAGCAGCTTCATTGAACGCGCTGTTTTCCGTCATTCTGAGGATGCATCCGTAATCAGAGTCCTTCAGTGCAATCTCGATAGAGTCGTTGTCGATGGAGTTCGTCATGATAGTGATGGAGGTTCGTTGGGAGAGATGTTCAGGGATCGAGAGGGTTTTTATAACCTTCTTCCAGATCAATCCAAGCTCCGATCCAATCTAAACTTGTCTTCGTTATCGTTATCTCTTATCGTCTTATCTAGCCATGAGGCTAACTCATGTTCGAGATTCTTCTTCACTATCAGAGGGAGAGTGCCGTGATAGGTACTATCATCTATTATCTTTTATTGGAGATTGGATCTTCATCAGAGGGTGGTCATCATTGCCATGATGGGTTCTAGAGGGTTCCATGGGCTTGCAGGAGTTTCCGTGGAGTTCGTCTTGTGATAGTTTAGCCTTGTTCCAGAGGTTCTTCTTCTATACCTTTTGTTTATATATGATCTACGCAGGTGGTCGAAGTACAGTGATGGAGGGGTCCCGAAGCTTGCAGGAGTTTTCCGGGGTTCGTCCTTTCATTGTCTAGTTTCAAGTCATTACAGACAATCGTAGTTTAGAGTCTTTCCGGACTATCATTAGTTTAGGGTCATTGTGGACCTAATCTAGTTTTAGGTCGTTTCAAACCAACGTAGAAGTTGGTTGAGTTCGGGATCAGTGATCAGTGTTCGGGGTAGAATAAGGCGAAGATAAAAGTAAATCAGGGATTTCACCCCCTTACTAAGCCATTAGTCACCGACTAATCCAATCAGAAGTCAAGGCCAGGGTACGGGCCGTCATCTTCGAAGTCGTTTCCTTCTAAATCTACCATTTGCAGATAATGCGAAGAGGGTGCATCATTGTTTTCTTCCTCGTTATCATCCTCGGAGTTGTCCATATCAATGAATCGGACAAAACTGGGCCCGGCATCTTGTGCTCCTTTTTCTATTTCATTTTGACGACATGCTTCATGGATCAAAGCGATTCATTCGATGAAAATATCCTGGGCTTCTTGTAATGCAGGAGGGAGTTCGGTGTCTGAAGACAGTGTCATTGCTTCTTCGGAATTATGCACGGGTGTCATGGAGAGGTTGAGGGAATTCGGCGGTTCATCGGCGGTTAAATATGCCGGTTCGGGGTCTTCCTCCATTGCGGACTCAGGACTTTCATAGAATCTGAGTTTCTTGGCGGTAGGAGGTTCTTCAATTTGGACTGCTCGTCCTTTTCTGAGAATGGATATCGGTTCTCCAGAAAATTCGAATCTCTGAGTTTTCTCTGGTTCAGGGGCCAGTCTGGGTGCCTTGGATACAGGCGGTTCTTCGTTCATTATTGCACGTCTCTTTCCAAGGACTTGTGCAGGCTCTGCCGAGAATTCATATCGGGCAGGTGCGGGATCTTCTTCAGTCTTCATCGGCTGAACAGCCGGTACAATTTTCTTCATTTTTGGCGGTTCGGGATAAATGTGGTCAGATATCAGCACCTGTCTGGAAGTCTTTTTCTGAGTTGTCTCCGGTGTAGAGACTCGTGCATCTCATAGTGTGATATGGCGCTTTACACTAGGGAGTATACAGCACCAACTCGCAGCATCACTCTGTGTACCATCCACAGTGATTCCTATATGACGCGCAGCTTTCCCGCGCAACGCGCGCCATGCGCGCACCATTCCCGCGCTTCACAACGTATACGCGCGCCCTATAGCGCCAGCCATCCAGATGCATCCATCCACTGTCCACCAAGCTCCCTAGTGCGTATATTTCCATTTCCTTTATTAGCATAGTTCCACCTTTATTTTTATCATAGTTTCTCACTCATATATATTTTTACATACCTACTCGGTAGCGCTTCGGCTCCGCATGAGCGCGCTTAGGCGCGCTATATAAGCGCCAGCAGTACATACTATTATTTACCTTACTTTTCACCCAACTTTACCTAGTACTTACTACTTAGAAAGTCGCAGTAGAAATCTATTCATTAGCACAACACATCTCACATCCTTTATCTTGCTTATATCTTCACATAAGTTTAGTCTCTCTTATTTCCGCTTACACGCGCGCGCTTTCCCGCGCTTCGCGCTAATACGCGCGCGCGTTCCCGCGCCTTCGTACCTTGCGCGCACCTGTGCTTTCTCGCGCTTCGCTGAAGCGCGTACCTCTAGATCTCCGCTGCACCTGCTTCCCCTTTAGGGTCGAATGCACTTGCCATCTCAAGTATCGCAGACTAGGCAACGCACGACCTACAACTTTTTAGATACAGTCAGGAGCATTTCTTTGTTCCTCTCAGTATTGTTGTTTCTACACCGGATCAGTGGCCGGTCTCTTCTGTTCATATCTTTTCGCTGCAAGGTCAATTCTAGGCAGCGAGTCTTTCTTCATCACAGTTTTCGCGGGCTGTGGTGCAGTCTCTGGAGGTTCTACGGGGGTTCCGTTCTGCAGTTTTTCGTGGACCGGTGCGTTCTGTGTCATTCGGGCTGATGGTACAGAGCCCGAAGAGAAGGTGCGGGGAGTAGTTGGGGATACTGATCATTTTCTCTTCAATGCTACCTTCTTATCTTCTTTCAGGAAGAGGGGCGTCTTGCCGTTCTTCTTCCGATCAGAATCTATTTCTTTCTGCTTCTTTCGGGAATCTGCAGTACTCTTGAGGGTTACTGTGCCGGTTTTCCAATTGATCAGGGGGTTCTGGCTGGTAAGCCAAGGTCGTCTAAGCAGGAACTTGTCTTTCGGACCAAGTTCGGCTAGGTAAAACCGTTTGGAAATTACCCGTTCATCGATCTGGAAAGTAAGGTTGCAAAACCTTTCTATCGGCTTCTTTCCGAAGCAGGATCCGTCAGCGTTCGAGAGTGTCAGGGGGTTCTCTAGCTGGTGCGTCAAGATGTGGTGCTGCATGATCACGTCCTGGTTGACGAAGGACTGACACGCCCCAGAATCTACGATCATAGATGTCGCGATGGGGTTACTTCTTGTTCTGGAAATCAGGGTGGCGTTCACCCGCAGATCATTCTTAGCCCCAGCCACCTTGATAGTGCGCAGGCGGGGTTCTTCTTCGATCATCTTTCTCCGTGGAGTTCGGGTCCATTGAGGACAGTCCACGGCTTTGTGTCCGATGACGTGGCACACAAAACATTTCTTTTCTCGCAGACAGAGGCAAGTCTCCTTCCCAGTGAAGTGTGCAGCGGCGAAGGTGTTTCTGGTAGTTGCCATATTGGAGATGGTTTCTACGATCTTCGTGGTATCCTTTCTTGGAGCTTTCCACAGTGACAACGGTTCTTATATTCTTGCGACTGGTCAGGCCAGTACGATCGGGGGTTCTACAAGTGTCGGTAACGTTGACAGCAGGTACAATCAGTTATCTGATGCCTGTGATGAAGGCATACAAAATAGGACTTTAATCCTTTGTTACGATGTGAGTCGCGTGCGAACTGGGATGATCTAACAGCGATGATCACGACAGTGATATCACGTGCTGAGAGTCCAAGGTCGGCTCCTACAGAAGAGCAGGAGTTGCGTACGCTTGCAGAGGCGAGCGATGATAGCGGTTACAGGCAGAAGGGGTCTCAAGTCCTTCTGAAGGTACAGATCAGATGTCGAGCAGGTAGCTTTAGCAGGACAAGGAGTTCAAGGTAAAACCCAGTAGGATTAAAGTAAGGAACATCTACTTTAATCGTCGACCTTATATAAGGCTACTCTATCATATCTAAGCTCAGCTTGAAGCTGGGTTCTAATCTGCTTATCTATCGAGTCAGAGATACCATGCATGAGGCAGGCTTCTATCAGTACATGAGGCAACACGAGGCTTGCCTTCTATCTTGATAACATAAATAGGTCTTCTAGACCTATGTCATCATATCATGTAAGCGATCCAGATCACTTACCTAATCCGGCATCTTCCGGACTTCTCTTCTATTCATCATCTATCATCAAGGCCTAAAGGCCCAGTTATCGTGTCGTTGCCGTGCAGGGTGGCAGAGGGCTGGTCGAGTAGCTGGGGGCTCTCATAGTGACTGTAACATATGCTGGACATGTTGGAGGTGGGCGCAAAGGTATCAAAATAGTCGATTCCATGTTGCTGACATTGCCCGTTTGCCACGAGGCACGCGCAGAGCTTGAGTTTCTGTCCGTCTGGCCCGCATTTTGTTGCCAGAACAAAGTGACAAGGTATGACGTTGACGCCTCGAGGTGCGTTCACAACTTCCCAGGTTCCAAGCTTCTCGAGCTGACTAAGCTTGTAATCTATTGCCTCCTGCCATTCAACTCCGTCTGGTCTGTTCAACACTTGTTGCAGCATTGGCTCTTTCTCTGCTGCTGCCATCGCAAGGTAAGGTGTTTCTTCGTCTACCAGATCTGATTCTTCTTCTTCCAGGACACTGTGGAGGGCGACAGACGCCTTCTCTCCATGGTGGAGGGTGGCATAATAGCCAATGGGTGGTCTTGTGCGTGTTACGACGTGTGTCGCGTGCGAACTGGGATGATCTAACAGCGACGATCACAACAGTGATATCTCGTGCTGAGAGTCCGAGGTCGGCTCCTACAGAAGAGCAGGAGTTGCGTACGTTCACGGAGGCGAACGATGATAGCGGTTTACAGGCAGAAGGGGTCTCAAGTCCTTCTGAAGGTACGGATCTGATGTCAAGCAGGTAGCTTTAGCAAGACAAAGGTTTCGAGGCAAAACCCAGTAGGATTAAAGTAAGGAACATCTACTTTAATTGTCGACCTTATATAAGGCTACTCTATCGTATCTAAGCTCAGCTTGAAGCTGGGTTCTAATCTGCTTATCTATCGAGTCAGAGATACCATGCATGAGGCAGGCTTCTATCAGTACATGAGGCAACACGAGGCTTGCCTTCTATCTTGATAACATATATAGGTCTTCTAGACCTATGTCGTCATATCATGTAAGCGATCCAGATCGCTTACCTAATCCGGCATCTTCCGGACTTCTCTTCTATTCATCATCTATCATCAAGGCCTAAAGGCCCGGTTATCGTATCGTTGCCGTGCAGGGTGGCAGAGGGCTGGTCAAGTAGCTGGGGGCTCTCGTAGTTACTGTAACAGTGCGTGTCTGGCATTCTGGAGCCGGATGGGTGAGCAGTGTTACCTGTT